GGATGTGGAATCCATAATGAGCAGTAAATAATGTACAAGATGGGACATGTTCTAGATAAAGGAAACAACAGCTCTATAAGGAAAGGCAGAAAAGTCAAGGAGTAATGTCAAGGTGCCCTGTATAAGGCAGAGCATACAGTTGGGGAGAGGCATTGGAAGTAAAGCCATAAATGGATCATGGAGAGGAAGGCCAAAGAGAAGGCGCTCACACAAATTGGTGCCTGATAGGAGTAGGCACTGTGGCGAGGGCCCTGTCTCAGCAGAGGATCGCGTCCCCATTCTTAAGAGGGACTGAAAAGGAAAAAGAAAGTGGAAGTGAAAGTCACTCCGTTGCGTCTGACTCTTTGCAACCCCTTGGACTATACAGTCCATGGAATTCTCTAGGTCAGGATACTGGATGGGTAGCCGTTCCCTTCTCCAGGGGATCTTCCCATACCAGGGATCAAACCCAGGTCTCCCACATTGCAGGCAGATTCTTTACCAGCAGAGTCGCCAGGGAAGAGGTGAACTGAGGTTCAGGGTAACTCACTTGCCTGAGGGCTCACTCCTAATGTTCAAGAGAGTCTACATTTGCAACCATGTCTATCTTAACTTGGAAGTTCCGTTATCACTGTTAATAAATATCCTTCCCACTGTATAACTGCATCTGGCTGAAGCATTAGCATTTGACTTTTATTCTTAAGCATTGGTGAAGGGTTCTGAGCAGGAATGAATGTTGCCAGAGGTGTTTATCGAGGAAATGAGGTGTTGGTGTTGTAGAGGCCAGAATGGCTACCTTTCGAGTCTGCAGACAGTTGCCGGTAACATCTCACACCCAGTCACTGGAATCACCAAATGACTATTTTGTCAGAACCATAATGGCTATATTTTCCAGAGAAATAAAAATCAAACTCTGTGCCAGTTTTTTCCTCCTGCCTTTCCATTTAATAGTTCCTTGGTCTTTGGTTCCACTTGGGCTGAATCCTCTTTGGTGCATGCCTTGTAGCTTTCTTAACTAACATTCAGATAAGACTAACTCTGAACTAAGTACTAATTGACCAAAAAGCTCCTCAGTCCATAACACCTGTGAAACAGATATTTCTTCTTTGAAAATTGACATGATGAACTCTGATAGAAAATGTTACACCATTCATTATACCAGTACTGAATTCTTTTACACCAATCATCTCTAGAATGGTATGTAAACAAGGGAAATGTCGAATGCCTGTGCTTCATACTGTAAAGACACATCTGGAACTATTTGAACTAACTAAAAGTAAAATAAGTGCCATGGCGGATTATGCCCTACCTTTTCACATAGAATAACAGCAACAAAAAAGGAAATAGAAAACATACCACTTCTAGAAGGCCCTGACATTGAATTGGGTATTGAAATGCTATCAGTAATATATTTTTATATACCACGCTTCCTTCCATGCATCAGCCGTCTATGGTACATAGGTGTTGGATATTTGCCATATGAGTTGAAAACTCACCATATAGGGAAAATGTTGTTTAGAAGTGGTGTAAATCATTAAGGTAGATGATTCTTTTAAAAAATACATAATTTACTGATCTGATAACTTTTTTTCTCTCTTTCTTTTTGGGTTTATCATTTTGGTGTAAATCATTAAGGTAGATGATTCTTTTTTAAAATACATAATTTACTGATCTGATAACTTTTTTTCTTTCTTTCTTTTTGGGTTTATCATTTTGTGTCAATAAATGTCAGCTTTCCCCCACAGCAACTAAAAATAGAAATTACATACAAGAACAATATAATTTTCATAAATAGAAAACTGCATAAGAAATATTATAGCTTAATATTGGTTTTACTATATCCTCTAATTTGAAATGGAATGAAATACTTCTATGATTGAATCATGGCTCTTTTACTGTTTGCTATAGAAATTTCAAGAATATATTTCAAAATGTGTTTTTTTTTTTTTAAATAATCCAAAACAAATGCAACAGAACTCAGCATAGTTAAACACATTTTCTGAGTTTACTTGCATCTCTCTGCTCCAGAGGGTTTTTGTGTGTATATGTATGGCTTAGGCCTGGCTGGTTATTTCACCATCTATCTCAATTCTGGATTGACTGCAGTGAACAGCACAGAATGAGTTACATATGGTCCCACTTTGACAAAGTTTGTAGGACCTCTGGGTTGGAACTCCATTTCATCAGAGTGAAGCTAACCATCACAGAAATGTGGCCGATGTCAAAATCCTAAATACACATACTCATGCACATACATTCTGGTGAGAATGTGTATATTACTGTTAGAAGTGTGGTGTTTTGCTCTTCACTGGCTCAGTGGTTATTGCCCCTAAAATGATGACATTTCAGTAATTAAAAAAAAAAAAAGTTGTTCCTTTGCATTTTATAGTAGTTATTGATGTCATTATGGTTAAATTCTGGATAGGAATCATGTTACATAAGTGGACCAAGATAGGTATTCAAAAGGTATTCAGATTACAATTGCAAGTATATAAAAAATCTTTCTAAAACTGGGCAGAAGAAGACAAATACAAATTTTATCTTAAAAGAGTGTGAAGAGGAAACCCACTGTCAACTTGTTTATTATCCCCTTTTTTCTTAGCGTGGGCTGTTGAAGACAGAATAGTAAAAAGTGGGTGTAGGGTATATTCTCAAGTTTAGATCTTGCTCAGGAATTACATCAAGGTGAGGCAGGGCCCGTGTCTACCAAGGCTCAGCCTTTCGGGGTGCTGAAGCTGTCCATTGTGACTTCCTCGCAAGGCTCTGCCTTTCGGGGTGCTGAAGCTGTCCCTTGTGACTTCCTCCCAAGGCTCAGCCTTTTGGGGTGCTGAAGCTGTCCATTGTGACTTCCTCCCAAGGCTCTGCCTTTCGGGGTGCTTAAGCTGTCCATTGTGACTTCCTCGCAAAGCTCAGCCTTTCGGGGTGCTGAAGATGTCCATTGTGATTTCCTCCCAAGGCTCCGCCTTTCGGGGTGCTGAAGCTGTCCCTTGTGACTTCTCTCCCTCTTCAGGCTCCTCTCTCCCTGCTTTTTTGGTGCGTTCCCTCTTTCTCGTCTTCCCTTCTCTTGCTTGCTATGTTTATTTATTTATTTTCTGTTTTTCCCACTTCCCCTCCCCCCGCCCCCTTCCTTTCTCTGTGCAGCCACGTGCTTCAAATCTGTGGGTCTGGACTGCCTTCGCTAACAGCTCTGTGTGAGTGTTAGCAGAATGCAAACCAGATGGACCAGCAGTTCCCACTGTTATCTCCCAGCCGACTCTGGCAAGCCTGCCTTTATCCTTCCTTCCTTGGCAAGAGAGAAATATTTGCCTTTATTTAGGGAGACTTGCATTCGCTGCTGTGCCTCTTCCCTAAGCTGCAGCATAAGTGGAAGCTATTTATTCCCTTGTTGCTGAGGTTGGTTGAGGTGAGTAGACTGTGCAATGAATTTAACTATCAAAGAAGTAGTTTTGAGCCTGCCTAACTTCTGCTTTTCTCGAGAATAAGTTATTCACTGGCACTGGTTGTAAAGTGCTCTGGAATAGCATATGAGGACAAGTTTTAATAATAAGATAAAGGTAGAGGTGATCTCCATGTGTTTCACCATCATTTCACTCGGAACACTTATCCAGCATAGGGATAGTCACTGTTATTCAGCCAGCAGTACAGATGAAGAAACGGAGACCCTGATACTTACTGTTCGCTGATTCATCTTTCAAGATGCTCTTTATTAGAATGGTGATGACTTTCATTCTTTCATTACACCTTCCCTTATGTGGTATCTGCGCTATTTCAGCTTTCAAATGTTACGTTCTGTTGCATCCCAAGTCTTACGAGATTGCTTTGAATAAAGGTGAGGTCGATTTGGAATTGTCATAGTAATAATTTGAGCTTTTCATTTTAATAATTGACAAGTAATTTTGAGACTGTTTCACTATGGTGATCATAATGATATTTTAAGAGACCCATTCTTATGAATAGTCTGTGTTGTTTTACTTTTCAGAAAGTCCAATTGATAGATATCTGTGCCTCAGGCTGCAAGAGGCACCTCAGAAACATTTTTGGGGGTATGTGTGCACGGGTACACATATTTGGTAGAAAATTGCATCTTAAAAAAAAAGCAAACACCCTTTTTTTTTTTTTAAACTGGAGATCTTTTTCTCTGAGTAGATTAGATTGAGAAGTTTGAAACTGCAAGAGAAAAATACACTTAGTATAAAAGTCCTGAAGTACTTTATTGGGTAGTCAGGGAATTTCTCTCTGTCACCTACTCATAAAAAAATATTAGGAGGGTCTTTAGTTCTTTTGAGTTCTCAGTTTTGTATTTTTCCATTCTTCCTCTGCCGGAGATTGTTAGTTGAAGTATTGGTTACATGTTTTTTAAATGGTGGATCATAAACTCATAAATTCTAAGTCAATAATAACTTCATTGTGTGACATTTATGTAGTGGTGATTTTTCAAACAGGGCAGAAAAAAAAATGAAGTGAGAGGTTATGACCAGGAGACATAGCCTGCTTCATCTATTAGCCTGGAAAAGTAAGCATGGAAAAGGGATGGCAGGTATTACCAAAAAAGTTACCGCAGAACATCAGCATCTAACAGGATCCCACCTGCATAACAGCCTCAGATTTGTGTACTTTCTGAGCTGCCTGAGGGCTTCATTACCGGCCCACTTCCTCATCTATTTTTTACATCTTGCTAATGTTGGCTTCAGCTTCAAGTGAAGTTGTGCTGTTGCATATAACACTACCAAAGGTAGCATCTGCCCAAGCCAGAAATAACAATAGGATGTAAAATTACCCAGTTAGAAATGAGGTCCTCCCATCTGTGCTACACCTTCTTAAGAGGGGTTTGCATGATAAAGTCTTGATTTAAGCCTCAGTAGATAGACCTGTTTTATTGATAGAAAATGCTAGGTTTCTTCTGTTACCTTGCTTGTAAAAAAAGATGAGCCCCACTTATAAAACTGAGGTGTTAAAAAAGAAAAAGAAAACCCCAAGGTGCTTAAAGAGTCAAATAACATGATCGTGGTGGCGTCCTCCAGATCGTACTGAGAAGCACTCCACGATGCCAGACTCACCTGTGGATGTGAAGACCCCATCCAGGCTGACTCCTCCCACGATGCCACCTCCCCCAACAACTCAAGGGGCTCCCAGAACGAGTTCATTTACACCAACAACGTGTAAGTAGATGTTTCTGCGTTTTCTGTTTTCAAGCTCAAATTAATTTTGTTTTCTGCAAATAAAAGTCAAGGGACAAGAAGATCCAGCATAATGTCTTACACATAAATGAAGATCCCATTTTAGCTTGCTCCTTTTGACTTGGAACATGTTAATAGGCCGCAATTATTTCCAGGTTCCTTCTGATCTTCTAATACCACTTTCTTCCATTATTTACAAATAATGTTAAAATCTACATTCTTAAGTTAAAAGGGGGATTGTTTTACGCAACCAAAGCATGCAGAAAGCTTTTTGAAATAAGGAGCATCTTTCTTGTGTTGAACCTGTCAGACATTTATTAAATGTTTATTCCATTTCAGCTTGGCTCAGGACTTGTGTTCTGAACCAGTGGAGTGTACTGCGTTTTGTGTCAGTCTAGGAAAGGACAGACTATTCTGACAGAATGCCAGCTTCCCTTTCATTCCTGTAGATTTTAGTGGGGGTGGGGGATAGCTTTGTTTTCCTTGATCTGAAAGTCCTAGTCAGAACATCATCAAAGATTTGTGAAACTAATATTTACAGACCATGTGCCCTAAAATCTATATGTCAATGAAAAATAACTAATAAGCAAAAATAGATCTGTGGGGGCATAAGGGATCAGCAAAAGAGATATCCAGGCTATTTATGAACTATTGCCCTGCCATTTAAAAGACCTTTCCAGACATGTAAGGAGCAGGGGGCTGCAAGAGCGCCAAGTTGTAACCCCGTTACCCTTGAATTTGGTTTCTTTTTACTCAGAGTCGCAGTGATATGTGTCTGCCTGCTGTGAGAGGGCCTAGTGAGATGTCATTTCTTGACAGGTAGCTCTGGTCCTCACTTAGGACAGGACCATTTTATTTTCTTGAAACTTTTAAGAATGATAAGGTACTTAAAACATCTTCAAACTATCATTGGAGGCCATTTATCCAAATTATACTCAAAAGATGGGTTTGACAAAGATCTAACATGATAAAGTCAATAGTTTCTTTGGTGAGAAATGTGTCAGTTTTTCTACCCTAGTTCTTACGGATTATTACCTTGACGTTCAAGTAAATTTTATCGAATGAATTCACCAAGTTACTGCCCATCCACGCTATTAGTTGGATTGAGATGTCCCCTTTCGGTTTCTAGAAATAACTCTTAGATAATTACCATATCCATTTTGGCTTCTTACATAAAATTTGTGTTTTCCTTAAAGAAGTGGTTAAGAAATATGAGGGGGAGAAAATAGCCTTCTAATTGGGTGGTAGAAGGTTAAAACTTGAAAGTACTCTTTCTATAAACACAGCTGTCAGTTGTGTGTACAAAATATGATTAAAAATGTCCAGTGATAAATTTAGTCTCCACCAAATGTACACTTTCTCTCGGGGAGCCGTGTAGAAAGGAATAGTTCTGTTACATTGATGTAAGCCTGCGACAAAAAGCTGACATCCAAAATGCTGTTTGTTCTGTGCTTGAAGCGTTTCAGGTGGCTGGCATATGCGTGCTCGGGAGGCAGGGCTGGCCCTGCGCCCCAGCCAGCCCCCACTGATCACCAGCTTCTGTGCAGAGCATCTCCGTGCGGGGTGCGGGGTGCGGGGTCCACCCTGGAGTCACGGGGCCCCGAGCCCCTGGCCACCCTGTGACGTCAGAGCATCTCACCAGACGCCCCGCAGCTCTGAAATGACCCAATGGCCCCAGGTTGGAAGGGAGGGACACTTAGTTGTGATTTTCCTGTTGCCGTTCTTTGTCCGTTTGCCTTCTTCTTTCTGACTTCGCGCCCTTCCACAGTAACCAACGGCACGAGCCATTCACCCACAGCCTTGAATGGCGCCCCGTCGCCGCCCAACGGCTTCAGCAACGGGCCCTCCTCCTCTTCGTCCTCGTCTCTGGCGAATCAACAGCTGCCCCCTGCCTGCGGCGCCAGGCAGCTCAGCAAGCTGAAACGGTTCCTCACTACCTTGCAGCAGTTTGGCAACGACATTTCGCCAGAGATAGGAGAGCGAGTCCGCACCCTCGTCCTAGGCCTGGTGGTAAGCCGGCGATCGCGGCCCAACTTGGGGGAAGGGAGCGGGCGGGGGAGACTCCAGGCGCAGGCTGCGCTCTCGCAGCCCTTTTGTTCCACACACACCTGGTCTTGCGTGCAAGCCTGCTAATTCTGTAGGAACAGGGGTTTCATGTCTGCATTACGTATTGATCGACCCCCAGCGTGATTTACCGTTTGGCTGTGGTTATACAGTTTTATCGTTATCTTGGCCATAATTGTGTATGTGCATAAAATTTAATAGGTATATCCTCCTGGCATGGCTAAGGTACTTTGACAATGGCAAAATATTTTTGTTATGTTAGTGGTTTGCTTAATCTAATTGGGTGCCTATTTTAACTTCGTTGCTTTGGGGAATTTTTATTAGCAGCCTAGATGAACAAGAATTTATAACAAGTAACATGTTATTCTTTTATGTTTTCATTTTTAAGACTAAGAACAGTAAATTTTGTGTGTGTGTGAGGGGAATGCACATAGCATAACATTTACCATTTAAACCATTTCTGAGTGTGCAGTTCAATGGCATTAAGGACGTCCACATTGCTGCGTAACCATCACTACTATGCATTTCCAGAACTTTTTCATCACCCCAAACTGAAATTGTACATATAAAACAAGAATACTCTGATTTCTTCATCCCTTAACCCATTGTAACCATTGTTAAAAAAAAAATTTTTTTTTTTATTGCTATAGGTAGAATTACATGAACCATTAGTGCGAGAATGGAAGTGTTGATTTGGGCACATTATACTACAATGTGTCCATTGTCACCCTGGAAATTGAAACATTTCCTTTTTTTTTTTTTTTTTGCATTGTAAATCACTTTTACATGGCCTATGAATTTCTTTATAAATAAAGAGTTTTCATTTAGGATGATGATTTCATTTATTTTATTACATAGACCTATCATGGGCAAAGCCATACCAGTGTGTTTTACAAAAGAAGTCCTAAAAGTCTGGATGAGAGTCTGGTGCAATAGACTTGCTTCAGATCATGGTATCTCACATCTGACAGATTTTGCACTTCAGTTCTTAACCCTAACCTCCCTCTCCTTCACACTTAAAAACAAGAAGCTTTCGCGTGTTTGAGAATCCATCAGCAGCACCTTGTAGTCCTCTGTGACAGGAAGGTGATTCTGACAAGCGTGGCAGCGTAGTGCACGCACTTCTGTCGGTCATTTACCTTTTCCTTTTTTTTTATTCTTGAGTTTTGCACAAAGTCTTTTTGACACATAAGTAACATATCATAGAACCACAAAGTAAATCCCAAAACAGTAATTGTATTGTCGTGTTTGTTACTAGTAAAAAAAAAAATGTCTTTTTGAAAACTGCTTTTTAAATCTGATAGGTTCTTTAACTGTGCTTTCTGTAACTTCCAATATATAAAAATTGGGTAGCTTTAAGTAGGTTTCTTCCCATGCATTAAGTGGAATGCTTTTGAGGGTAGTACTTAAGATATATATTTGTCTAAAAACTTTTTGGAGATAAGTTAGGGGGAAGACATTAATTAATAATCCTAGGCAGGCAGTGAACATTTGTCAAATGATGAATTAATAGAGAATGAATTTTGCTTTGAGCATTTGACTGCACTGCAGGCTTTGACACATCATTTTATTTATATACATTTTACATGTGGGGAAACTGAGGTACAGAAGAAAACTATTCTAGGCCACCCAGTTGGTAGTGACTGACAGCCCTATGATTTGAACTCAGGTAGTAATCATAATGAGTCAGATGCTGTGGTTTAGATGGAGTTAAGAAAAGTGTTATAAGAACTGTTTAAACAAGCAAACACAACAGTCATGGGCTTTAGAAAATGGAGCCATGGAAACAAAATGAAAGATGAAAAAGTGTATTCTCTGATCCTTATTGTTACAGATAGG